TAGAAACAACTGTCTGCAGGAAGACAAAGAACTCTACAGAGCCGCTCATTTTTCACGTCATCAATCGGGTCAAATGGTAATTTGGACGCCCCAATGCGATCAGCCACTTACCGCGTTGTGCTCTTCAGCCGAAAATATTTCGGTGTTGGTGTTCTTGACGATAGGGCAAACGCTGGAGGGGGTGGCTGGTTATGCAAAGGTTTCAGTTCCAACGATGCGCTGGCATAACCTCACCATTTCACCCCCCACTGTGGCCAGTCATCAAATTTGTATCACTGGACGCTGTAAGTTTTCAGGCAAACACCGCTCACAGTTATTGCATGATGCTTTGTGCTTTGATAGTGGGACACTTACCGATCGCCTTACAGAACATACTCGTCCGGTTTTGCGTTTGGGCCTAATCGCGAGCCATGTCAACAGTCACTCAGCGGCTAGTAGATTTAAAATTGAAGGATATTACTGACGAAGACAGAGGAGACAAAAGTAGCCAATTCAGCCTTATTGTCCGTCATCAGCGAGCCATACTCAACTCCTCATGACGCAACATCTTGGTACTTGAAAGATTTATGCATTCTAACGCCAATTTATGTGGAATCACCGAGTACAATCGACAAAATTATAAAAAAGCGTATATTCGTCGAATGCTATTCTACGACTTCGACCACAGTATGTCGCAGTAGCACATGAGACACCCTTTGAAAACACAGTTTACGGTTCGCAAAATATAGCATATTACAGTTGACGGCACAGTGTCTTCGAAACGCTATGCTCTTACCGTCTGCATAAGCAGCCCTCATGTCGAAGAAATTAGGTATTGCGTATGACGCAACGATCAAGAGGTAAGTACGGACATGAACGTTGTCGGCACACCATTCTCTTGTCCTCCCCCCGCACTGGATATCAAGTAAATCGCATGGGATATAATATTTTAATGCAGCCCCCAAATACTAGGGTTCACTGCCTGTTATAACCTTGTATGTTCCTGTATCAAGACCGGTTAGGTCCCCCAGTTACGTGTTAAGAAGAGAAGGCAGAACACGATAGCAGATAGTACTTTCCTGTCACTAGGTCTGTTTGTACATCAGCGTTGTCTTTTCTGTGCCCGTCAGCAGTGTGTCCTCTGTCATCGATAGATTGTCTCGGCCAACAGCAGGTCTTATGACTAGCAGCAGAATCTCGGGTCGTCGGCAGCGTGTCTCCCAGCAGCAGAATGCCCTTCTGCTCGCAGTCTCGCTATTTAAGGGCCAATAGTCCTTATTCCGCATTGGCCCTCAACGAGTGGCCCCAACAGGTAGCCGTCGTGCCTCAGCCACCCTGTCTTCACGTGACGCTTGGCGCGCGCGCTTTGCTCCTGGCCAAGCATGACGTCAATGATGGCAGACCCCGGCCTGTGGTTGTCCTTTCATGCTCGCGTGTTGACCTTTCACAGTCGCTGTCTTTGCCCACTCTGCATGCATCGGTGGCCTGTCCGATTCCTTTGTTCTGGTGCCCTTAGGACAGCCCGAGTTATGACTCGCGTGTTGGGCCC